AATATTTTCAAACCATTTAAATTTAATGTTGATATCAAGACATCAAATCAATGAAAAGACTAAATTGATAATAGAGGACAATTCAGGCTCTAAGATGTTATAATATAATATTACATTATATATAATATTACATTTAAAGATGGCGAAATAATTTATTTTAAACCTAGGAATCTACACTATTAAAGATAGATTAACAACGAAGTAAGAATAGTATATATACGACTGCCTAACATTAACCATTGGGTCGCGCTCCGCTAGGCATGATTGTATAGCTTGGTCGGCGGGTCCTCCGTTTCTGTTAGAGGAACATAACCCCCGTCCCTCCGCAGTATATTGTTTTTCCAACGTTGCCGATGTAAGCCTTCCTCGTTTCTCTGGGGTTCCAATTAATATAAATAGCCTTTCGGATTTGATCAATTTGTTACAATTTATAAATGATTGTAAAACTCTTTAACAACAGAATACGGCCTTGTTTATGTGAGTGTATCGTGAAATTAATTAATTAAACGTGTTAACGTATAGGTACGTATAGGTCAAATTAATTTATAGTAAACCCACGTGTGTTATTGAAAATTTACTAGAAACGTGAATTTGACGCGGAAACTAACTCCACGTTATATTAATTAGGTTTATAACTTTTCAGAAATCTTGTCCATGAATTGAATTTATACTAATATTATAATGAAAGTGCAAATTATTAGTCAACTTTTTTCAGAAATTCTGTCACCATTTGAATGCTTAAGTCGGACATTAGTTATTTATTGTAGATAATGTTTAACCATAGAAAAGTTTAAAGGCGGACCCAGTATTGTCCATGTTATTACAAAGAGTTTATTACAAACTGCTTAATATACTAGTGGAGTGCGCTAATTTTGACACTTTCGTTTTCTTAAAATATAAGTACAATGCCCAGTCGCCGTGTTGACGGCCCTGTTGGTCTAGTGGTTCACTAACCACTAGACCAACAGGCTACTACCCTGACTGCTAAACACTACCCTGTGCAGGGTCACTACCCTGACTGCTAAACCGGAGGTCGTGGGTTCGATTCCCACTCAGAACAAATATTTGTGTGATGAGCACGATCGTTTGTTCTGTGTCTGGGTGTAAATTTATCTGCAATATGTATGTATTTAGAAATATATAAGTATGTTTATCAGCAGTCTGGTTACCATAGCACAGGCTCTGCCTAGTTTTGGATCAGACAGCCGTGTGTGAGATGTGTGAGGTTATTATTATTATTATCAGAAGAAAATTGGACGAGTTGGAAATACAGCTACAGTGGCTTGTCAGATGCTTGTACTTATAAAAATGCAAAATATTTTATAGGCATAGAAGCAACTTATCGCCAATGCATTGATTCTACTATCTTCTATTTAATGGTAACTATTTGGTGGTCTCTTCATGGTGTTATTCACTATAGCTCTCTCAGGTCTGGTCAGGCAATAACAGTAGAAGTTTACTGTGCCGAACTTTGAATAATGATGACGAAACTGGCACTGAAACAGTGCCGCCTCGTTAATCGATCTTCACCATTATTGCTTTATGATAACGCAAGACCACACAATGCACGACAAACCATTGTAACTCTACAGGAACTGCACTTAGAAACCATACGTCATCCCCCGTACTCACCAGACTTTTTTTGTGATTTGAACAATTTTATACGTGATATTTTTTTTCCCCAGGAGGCAGTACAAAATACTTTCACTCAGTTTGTCGAATCTAGATTAGAAAGACATAAATGCACTTCCGTTTAAAGAGCAGCAATGTATAGAGAATGGGCGTAAATATTTTGATTAAATAAAAATAATAATAAAAATATGTTTATTTCCACCACAAACAACAATGTACAGTGAATTATAAAAATTAGTACAAAAATAAAAGTTGTGATTTGAGCTGGACTGGAGCTAAAAACTAGGGTCAATACCTGTATTTTAGAACTCCAGGATAATAATAAATAAATATGTTACATCTTAGAAAAACACGAGTTTCCATTTTTTTTCCATTCTTAATATTCACTGTAGAGATCAGCCTTTCCTCGTTCATGATTGATATATATTATTTGTATGTTTTCTTTCTGGTTAGCTCACACAGTAGGAAAAGCTATTTTACCTAAAACATATTATTTAAACGAGGCTTCTCAACAGTCTTTACTAGTCCACTGCTAAACATAGGCCTCTCATTAGAAAGGAGGTTTTGGCCTACTATATCACGATGGCCAGACGGGTTGGCAGCGCAGTCCTGCGTAGATTGCTCCCTTAGTTGGCTCTTACGATACCCGCGCGATGGATAGGTTGTGCCCAATTAAACAATAGTATAAGCTGGGCCAAACTTTTCTGATTTTCAGTTTATTAACAAAAAAATTTTTTATGAATATGAATGAATACAATTTGGCTTTTAAATATTTTTTTACGTTTATGCAACGAGGCCATTTGATTTTACTCGTTCACATCTATAAATATAATATACTTAAAAAAATATATATTACCCAAAGGTGAGATAAAAATTGCGCTTAAAATATTCGATGTTTCGATTTTAGGAAAACTAAAACACTTGTCAGTCTTCTTAGTCAATTATGAATGAGGATTAAGACTTGACTAATAGACGAAGGAATTAATAGAAAGGAAACTGTTGCGTCTATCATTATGTTACAATTAATTATTGATGATAAGCATTCCTAGGCGATATTACTATTACTAAGCGTGTGACTTAAACTTTAATTAACGACGGAAGGTATTATTAAATATTAAATACATGTCTTTAAATGCAAAAACAAAACCTTATAATTATGAAACTAAAATGAAATCAAGTTTATTACCAAAGTATCTATATAATTATAGAGTAAGAATTCATCATCATCATCATCATCAACAGCCCATAATAATCCACTGCTGTACATAGGTCGCCCTTATAAAGGAGGTTTTGGCCAGTCCAGCCTACGCTGTCTGTTTCGGTCTGCTTCAAGTTTTCCTTCTCTTTGCAATGCTGTTGTCCTACGTAGTTTGCTCCCTTAGTCGGCTCCAACTCCGTATTCTTAATCGGTCACCACACGGATAATGAGTAAGCGTTAAACAGAAACAAAACTTCTTTCTTCCATCACCTTCCCTTCATATCAATCTTTCCTTACGTTATACTCCCATTTCCATTCTAATCCCTGAAGTATCCAACTGACGACTATAGGCAATAAGTGAGACCAAAATCATTAAAAATTTAAATTTTTAATACGCCTTTGTTTTTTAATACGCCTTTTGGGTATATAGCGAGTGTATCTATGCAAATCTTTTAATCAATTACAATTAAAGCATATAGGGTTGTAACTTTTCTCGTTTTAACATATTTTTAATTCGAAATGAGCTATTATTTGTATTACTATGTACATATATTTGTATTACTTTCCTTAAATGTGTTGGAAATCAGTTCCACAGTGGTAGTGTTAGTTATACTTAGTTTTCGTAATTGATGGGTAACTTCTGAAGTATTTTGTACTCATTATAGTTTTTCAATTTATTTGCACCTAAATTGTACCTATCTAAAAAGTTATGATGCATCGACATCGATTTATATGCTCCTAGTAGATTTAGTAGATGTAGTTATTACGTAGATGCTAAAGTGATGTTCATTATACGAGTTGTCAATTGTACTTTGCGCATAAGTATGAAATCAATTTACCAATGAACATTAGTATAAAACATCAGCTTCTCACATGTTAGGCAACGAGCAATTTCAAATACTCTTAAAGAGTTCAAAACGTCACCTCTGTCTAGTGACCCTGATTGCCAAGCCAGAGGTCGTGGGTTCGGTTCTCACCCAGGAAAAATAATTTTATGATGAGCACGATCATTTGATCTGTGTTTGGGTCTAATTTATTTAAAATGATACACATTTATATTAGGTATTTGAAAATATTTAAGTATGTTAATCAGCAGTCTGGTTACCATAGTACAGGCTCTGCCTAATTTGGGATAACAATAATAAGAGGCCTTATTATTGTATATTTCACTCAAACTGTTCCATTTTAAATATTTTTTTAGAAGAGAAAAAACCTTAACCCAAATGATTTTTGTACATACGAGATTTGTCGCTGTGCTTAAGTGTGTTAAACTGAGAACATCATAAGGTTAATTAAAATAGTTAATCTATCCGGTAAGCCAGCTCTTGATTGTAGGAAAACCACCTGATAGTAGTACCATGATGAAAGATAAAATGGCTCATTAATTATTTCAAAAACCAATAATCATATTACTTCTGTGTTCAGATTACCAAAACGTTGCCGAACTTAAAAATGTCAGTATCAGTAATATAGTGCGAAATATAGGTTTAGTACCTATATAGTAAGCAACTTACATATACATTAAGATAATATAGCTACTTTCTTAAATCATCGTTTTATAGTAGAACGGCAATGTCAATGCCCCCATTTAAGCCTTTGGTACGTCGTAGACATACCTCTGACTAAAGCAAAAGGTTGTTACAGTTAAAATAACTACATTAAGCCCCAATTTCATAGAAGTTCAATTACAACAAGAATTAAATTTTGAATTTGGCGATACCATGAGCATTCTATATAATTAAAAACGAAGTTATACGTCTTTAGATCAGTCGTAGTCAGTTTAATGATTGCAGGAGCAAAGGTCTTAAGATAAAGACAACTATCTCAAAAAGACTCTAATAGATTTAATTATTTATTAATGATAAATAGAAGGATTTCATTTGAAATAGAAACACGATCGAAGTTGAATAAAGTATGTCCTATACTAACCAAAATGTGGCCTTATTAGGTTGTCTACGATTTACTTAAACTGTGGGCAATATAAATACGTTACCTGTGTTAGACTACGATAAAACACAAATCAATATTTCTTTACAAAATTTATTCACAATACTCAACTAGTAGTGATCGCAGTTTTTGTTCAAGTTTATCGGCGTCGAGTACGAGTTCAAATATTTGTATCTACGTGATACATACATTTAGTACGGTCTATGAAAACTTCAAAACTTACTCATTATGCGGTATGTCCTCTAGCTGGTTAGCGAGCGCAGCGGCTGCGAACAGCGCAAGTAGACCAAGAGGTCCCCGCAGCGACATGCTGCAACTCAGCGCCATCGCACTCCCCACATGACCAGTACACACGACAACCGACACAACACGCACTCGCTCCTACATAGAACAACACACCGTTCGCACTACACTTGCCCGACAGTGTCACCAAGGGGCGTACGTTTGTGCATGAGTCATCGAGTGGTCGTGAGTGTCAGGTTAGGACCGGGCCGGTGTCGGTGCGGGCGAGCCGCAGGGCGAGGACAGAGCGTGTCTCGCGCCAACTCCACCGGCGCACGCCCCGCACCTCGCACCCCACCCAGCGCACCCCCGTAGCCGCAGTGACGCTGCGCGCGGATCATACGCCCAATAACGCAGCGGGCTACTACTTATTACCGAGATTTATTTGTTCATACATAGGGTTGATGGTCAGCGACCGGTGCGAACGCCTCCGCCCCACCGTATGAAAACATCCGGCGTAGTATTAAGTGAGGCAGGAAGTTAGGGTGAACGCGCTTGATCAGACCCAATCGTGAGCGAAGAGCTGGTAGTATTGAAGCGGTTTACAGCAGATCTAGCCGATCTAGATGTCTGGTAGTAGTCGAGCTCGACGGCGAACCGCCGCCACGCACATGCGTGGGCAAGTCGCCAGGAAATCCTTTATTGATTCCCGCGCTCCCGCTTTCTGAGGAATGTCGCAGGCGTTACTACCGCCAAAATTTCATCCTCCTACTACTATAACTTGGCCTAAGCGGATCACTGTACTCTTGGCGGATTGCTTTCGTTACACCTCACGAATTTTAGGGATTTTCCTCGAATTCTCGAAGATACGGGAGGTATAAAATTTAACGTTTGCTTTTACGGAGTTGGTGAAAATAATTTCGCAATATAAAATTTTATGTGTGGCTCATTGAATTTCAGTGAACTTTTCCGTTACATACAGATGCAATTGTCTTCGTGCGGTTTGAAGGCATATAGTAAGTGAAGGTGCTTAGATTATCTTAATAATCTAAGGTGATTCCACAAATTAAATCATTCTTAAACTCGCTCGTTTTAAAATCGTTCTATTTTATGTAAAGTTAGTACCTAATGTTTATTTAGTACCTTATTATACTATTCTTGTCTTACTTTACACATCGCTAATTCCTTAACATTGATAGTGATAAGAGCTTAAATCGGTTAGTCCGTTTTTGTATAATTTAAATTCCTTTTCAGTACTTTTATGGTGCCCATGTGAATTTAAGACTACTTACTATTAGTAATTATTTCTATAGAAGATATTGTCTTTACTAATGCTGTAACTTTATATGTATACTACATATAAAGTTACAGCATTAGTAAAGACAATATCTATACTATTTGTACTACAGTTTTTTTTGCACACGTTTAATATTAGTCTTGTTATGAGTGGGATGTTTAAACCAATTTAAATTGCAGATTATAAGATACACGTAAAAAAGTAAACACGGTACGACTATGTTTAGATGAGGGGGTAGATCACGCGTTGAACGCTCGATTGCGGTTATGTAAAATATTCAGATGGCGAGCAATATCAAAAATATTTCAACCAACTAAGTTAAGTTTGTTAGATTAACTAACAATGCTATGTACGCCTGCTTCGGTAGTGCAGTGGTAGCGTATGCGACTGCTGTATTGAGGTCTCAGGTTCGATTCCCGGGTCGGATCAAATGTTTGTATGATCTGCAAATATTTAATAAATACCGTATGTTCTGTTTTTCCAATGATTTTCGACTCTGAATGATGGTCTGAATACACTATTTCAGTATTCGTTGCACCGTCCCTTACACCCTGTATACTTACTAGCTTATTTGCTTCGGAGTTTGGATGTTTTCAATGTATAATAAGTATGTATTAACAAAAAAAAAGTATATAAGTATTCAGTCAATTTAGTTTTCATAGTACAAGCTCTGCTTAATTTGAAACGAGACGGCTTTGTGTGTCAGATGTCCGAAATACTGTAAGTTGTTGAGGAACTGTGAGTAAGTAAAATAGTCATAGTAAAATAGAAAGTTGTTCATTATTGTTGTTGACATTACAAGAACAGACCATTTTATAGTACATAGAAATAAATATAAAATGCCGCTGAAGCGGTTATGTTGAAGTCCAACCAATTAGTAATCTCATTTAATGATGGGTAAGGCTCTCGGCAGCTCTAGTACATCGTCATGTCTATCTTGGGAATCATCAGTTTCTACACGGTATGATATACAAGGTGTAAGGGACCAACATTCTGAATCGAAAATCATTGGAATTTTTTGCCGGGAAATTAAACGTCTTATGCAATCAGCTGTCAAACATTAAGGTCATTCCAAGTCGCACATGTGTATTCCATGCAAAGAGTCTACGCACACTAACACCAATTTATAGGCCCGCGCGGTATTCATAAAAAAATATGTTCTGTTTACTCATTGTGGTATCATTTTTAACAAAAAAAAATGAAATTATAAAAATATTTTTTTAAATCACACAATGAAAGTATGGGTTATGTTACGTAAAACTTGAAAAAGTATTTCTAAATAGTTTTTCTTATACCCTCAAACAAAGTGAAATTATAAGATAATAAATAGATTAGAGGGATATATCAGGGACTTAAGGATAAAATTATATGTAACATATAGGCAATATAGGAGTTGGTAAAACACAATAAAATGCGATATATTTTGTACAGTTTAAAAGTATTTTATTTTTTCATTACAGTCAACATTACGTTTTGAGTTAACAATAACTTTTTAATGAATGTAATTGACATACAATCACTGGCAATCATTTTGATCGATTTAATGTTAAAATGTCCGAATGTTATATTTTTTACTAAATAATTATTGTACTTGTTAAAATACAGGTACCTTATTTTATTGTAAAAATATTATTTTTTATTAATTTATTTATATATTGTATAAAACAAAATTATTGTCTTTATAAATTCAACGTGTTAATTTAATTTAAATACTCGTTGTAAATAAATGCTAGCAAGAACTCAAAAACTGTCAAAATAATTGTTTTTTCATTTTCAATTTGTTATTTTTAAAAAACCTACAAAGTTATTAAACGCTTTCGCTTTAGTTACAACCTACAGTTTTTTGACAATATGTCAGTTAAAATTGTATAAAAATAAATGATACAAATATAGGCGATTCGCAAAGCTGCCGGGCGAGCGCTGCCTACGAACATCGTTGCTACGTCTAACACTACGGCTATATTTACAAAATATCGTTAAATTATATAGGTACGTATAAATTAATATATCCTACTAAGTACTTTGCACAAAACGTTACAATGTTGCTCGGTCATCGAGTGCTGTGAGGTCAATGTGACGACGACCGACGCCGACGGCCGCCCTTTTTCTCCCCGCACAATACTGTGCTTTGATCTATAAATGCAGTCTTCACAAATTACTAAGTTTACCTAATGATCACAACAATACAGTTAGGTTTAAACAACTACGTAATCTCATAAATAACCATCTAACCTAATGTTAAAACTACCTAAATAATTTGTACAATTAATCTGAGATTTCTATCAGATTTCCCTGGTGACAGAATAATTATTGAAATATAAATAAATAATATTATAAATTAATAATATTTGACCACAGTCTTTAGAAGGTTTAAATTGTAACAAGAGTTTCGAGACAAACAGAAATGTCTTTTTAATAGGAACACACAAACAAATGTGAAGACAAGACGAACTACATAACGATATTTGGTTATTATACAGTAAATAATTCGTTGGCTTTAACACTACAACAATTCCATACTTAACCGTGTTGTCGGAGCACTAGTGGGCGTGGCACGCTCTATGGAATGATTGCAGTACCATCCTGTATTATTTGTTCAATAATCCGGGGGTTGACAACTTTTCAAAAATAGTTTTATACGCTTCATGTGTGTCAAATAATACTCATGAAGTTATAGTTAATTCATTATTATACCCTTGAATACAAATGAAATACGTATTTGTATTTCATTTGTATTTAATCTTAGTAAAAAATATTCAACAAAGTTGCAGCATTATGGCCATGTGACTACGAATGACGTCAACGTTCGACAGAGTATTATATTTTGTAAAGTTTAAAATTTCTGTATTCAGAAGAACATAATGAAGAAACAACTTGGATGGTTAGTCACTAATTCAAATCACTTATCTACATCAAATTATTATTTCATTTTCGCGCTAATAAAAGACAAGATAAACAAGACAGCTGTCAAAATTGTGCGATTACGACTCATTTCCGGATTGATGTTTCCAAAATTCTATATTCTATTCTATATTCCTATTTTTTCTTAAGAGAAAATAAATTAGTGATTATCTTTTCTTCATGTATATTACTTTAGGCTTTCTGTCCTTAGATCTATTAAAATGAGTAGTTAGTTTCAATTTTTGAACATACTGTCAACTCGCGGATTATGTTGATAACGGATATTACCACTTTCATCGATAAACATTACGATATAGCCTCCACTATGTTCATACGAAGAATTAACTTAAAATTACAATAGGGCAGATGACATTTTATAAAACACTACATTATATGTATTAACAAAGATAATATCTAAATACAAATACTTTGTTTATTTATAAATGACGGACTCGAGTAAATGTCTTAAGACGAGTCGCTCAAACAGTCATTGCACCACCATAAATATATTTCTGATTTCACTCTTAATTATGTACAATTTTATACATAGAAAGTAGTCAGCTGCCCTATTCTCGTAATACTGTCTTAAGGTACTGATTATAAGCGGTATTGCTAACCTTAAAACATGTTTTACGTTCTCGGCTTATAAACGAGACATATCTCGTTTATTCCGTATCTATTTATTCCGTAACTTTAGGTAAAGATGTCAATTTCGATCAGATCATTACATACAATATATTAAAGTGCATTCACAGAAGCACACCACAGCGCGTTGTCACGCTGCACATGGTTGATTTTTGACACAGTCAGTCACAACCTACCAACTAATTCAATGTCTTGACGAGTCACTTTCGTGTCCTGAATCGCGGCCATTTTCTCTGGGAGAAGCGCGGTGTTCTCTCTCATCTCTATACCGGTCTCTCCGCTCACGATCCCTGGATCTATCTCTGTCCCGCTCTCGATCACGGTCACGGTCTCTGTCACGTTCTCGATCTCTATCTCTATCGCGGTCCCGTTCTCTGTCTCGGTCGTCGTCGCGATCTCTGCGTCTGTCGTAGTAGTGATACGACCGTCGAGATTTTCTATCGCTAGGTGTCACGACCTCCACCTTTATATTTGCTGTCGCCGTAACCTACACAAATAAAAAAAGTACATTAGTCTTGTAATGTCAAAATAATAGGATTTTTTATGCTCACACGCTTATTGGTACGATACCTATGCCTAAAAACCAGCTTTTTTTTTTTCTGTATGTCTGTTCTGGGTAATCATCAAAACAGCTGGACCGATTTTAATAATATTTTACTGCCAGGTAGCTGTCTATATAAGGACTAACTAAGGCTATTTTTCCTCTCAGAAAAACCGTATAACCCTATTTTGACCGGTCCGGGCATCGAACCCGAGGCCTCATAGACTGCAGTCGCGTACCATACTACATCACTAAGGCAGCGCTTTTCAAATTCCAAGCGAACGCGGGTAGTCGCGGGTACCAGCTAGTATTGAATAAGTATATGTGTGTATAACATTGATGAAATTAACCTTAGTAGTGACAGCGCCGTGCGGTGTCTTAGAAGTAGGTGTTGACCTTCCAGACGCAGAATCACTTCCATTATACGTAGTAGTTTCAACTACAACTTCTGGCTGTACAACAATAGATTGCATTGACGATTGTACGGACGGTGCCGAACTGTGCCAAGATGGAGGTTCTTCAGTGATTGTTGTGAGGGATGGAGCGCTTGGTCGAGGGACGTTCTTGCTGCCTCGCGATGGTTTGTCGCTGTTAGACGATGTAGACTTTCGAGTATGAACTGGTGAAGATTTTGGTGATGGTGTTGACAGGCGCTCTGGATATTGTAGAGGTCGCACCTAGACGAATAAAAAGTTAAGATTGATTATTAATAATAACATACAAAATGCTGAATTATATGTTACTAATGTGAATAAAGTAACCTAGTGTTAAAAATGTGAAACTTACCTCAGCTGCTGGTCCCAATATAGCTAGCACGATAGGGAAGAAAAGTAGCCCGTCTAAAAGACCAAGTAGCACCAATGCAAGGAGAAGTCTCAAGAATAGTCTGGCTACGAATCCAAACTCGCTTGTGGCCAACATGGATGCGGCGAGTGCTGACGCCAAAGCTCCGTGGAATACTGGAGCCAGGACAGATTCTATAGCCAGCGATGCTCGTCGTCGGTTGCAACCGATTGATGTTACGAATGCCTGAAAATTGACCATACAAATTTACTTATCTTACTTAAATAAATAATAGTTCACAGTCAATATAAGTGTTAAGGTGAGTAACAATTATAAGTATTAATGTACTTAAAATAAAACATGTGTTTACATTAATTTCCAAAAATAAATGACTAATTCATCAAACTAAACCAAATGGTGGAGGAATTTTGGTAACTAAGGTAGGTAAACTAAGCAAAGCTTGTACTATGAAAGCAAGATTGACTGATAGAATACTTATATACATACTTTTTCTTTTAAATTTTAAAAAGTATGTAAATAAGTTTTAGTGTTTTAAATACATATTAAATGTTACATAGAAAAGACCCAAACTCCGAAACAAATATTTGCAAATCATACAAAAAATTGGTCCGACCCGGGAATCGAACCCTAGACCTCAGCACAGTAGTCGCATACCACTGCACCACCAATTGTTTTATTATTAAGTATTTCAACAAAATTACTAATAATATTTAATATAATTATTTAAAATAATTAAAAGTACTTACCAAACATAAGTGTACAGTGAAATGAACCCCTCTGCCGATAGCTAACACAAGTAAGACAGCAGGTACCGCTGACAGCTTAACCCCGAGAAGGGCCATTGTACCAAGTAGTTGAAGGACCAGGGTCGCGAGAGCCAATGTAACTAATACCGCCGCCCAAAAATTCAGAAGAAGCACCATAACAGCCTAGAAAAGAAATATGACTTTAACTATTTATTTTTAAAAAAAAATGTACTTTAAAATCAAAGAATTTGAAGCTCAAAATGGCTAATACCATAAAATTCTAAACCTTCATTCAACACAATTGATTTCAATCAATTACTAAACAAAACAATTTGAAACTTACCACAAAAACTGCAGCCAAAGCGCAAACAAGAGCCATCAACAGCGACGTCCTTAAATACAAGTACTGCTCCCAGAACAAAAAAGGAATACCAGAGGGAAAATTAGACAATCCCTTCGCTTCAAATTTTAGACACAGCTCTCGTACTGACATTATCAGGCTCTTTATACTTTCTGTGTCACTAAGTCCTGATAAGTAGAAAGGCAATTGGGTGTATATTAATGGAGATGATTTAGGTATCTTAAGATCCACGTCACTAGGTGAATGTGTCCATCTTTTTGGTTGAGGCTTCAAGTTTCCTTGTGCCGCTCCATATGCCAATGCATCATTCGTGGCCCAAGCTGATAGGTAATTATAAAACGCCTTGGGGTTTATAATACCATCCTTGTCAACCAATCTGTGACCGTTTTTCGTATCCTTTGTAACTAGAGATCTGTCGGTGGGATTGTCTACATGTCCGGTCTGTACCATTAATTTATATGCCAATATACCCTCGTCGCTTGCGTTTTTGTACCAGTACTCTTGCGTTATGCATCCACTCTCTACTTCCCTATCATACACAGCCTGTAAATCTAGTAACCAGTCACGGAAGAGACTCAACCAGAATTTCGTAAGTCCACCGTTATCGTTCTTGATAATATTCGGTATCCTAACAAACTGGTCGTGGTATTCGTACAGAAGCTTCTGATTGGTGGGATATTCGAAGTCCCCTTGCGTAACAGCGTACATGCTGTAAAAGCCGAAATATTTCTCTTGGCGGTAGAGAAATTCGTGTTCGTCTGTATTTTCTGGAACAATGTCTGTGAGATCAAGACCGTCTTTGACTTTCGTTGTTCCCCAAACGCTGGCTAATATAACTGCGATCAACGCCAACATTGACGTCACCTAGAAATGAAACAACATTTCTTATTAGACATCAGTTCAGTGTACCTAGATATGATGACATGTGGAGTTGAAGTGTGTAGACAAGTAGGTACCTTGACTGAAGGCCGCATGATAAATGGTGCATAATGATTCTTCGCCCACTTCGTGAGCGATAAACTGAGACAGCACGTCACCCTCGACTGCTCTCCCATGTCTTCAGGATCCAAAGGCTGTCTCGTCGTATCTTTATAATTATTCTGTAAGAATATTTTTATTAATTGTTTTATGTATAAACGAATGAAGGAGACGTTGTAATAAAAAAAAAATGACCTATTCCAGTACTAGGTTTTCCCGCGGCTCCTTTTATTAAATAAATATGGGAACCTATGTCTTTCCTCAAAAATCAAACTCTCTTCATACTTAATTTCATCTAAATCTTTTGAGCGTTTTTTGATTCCCCATACAAACTTCCACCCCCCTTTTCACCCCCTTTTTTCGGGACTCGGATGATTTCTGCACCAAATTTCATCTCAATCGGTTCAGCGGTTTAAGCGTGAAGAGTTAACAAACAGACAGATATACACACTTTCGCATTTATATTGTTGAGTATGGACGAAATAAAACAACTTTACTCATTTTTAAAGGCCTTTTCGATAAAGTAAGTATGAGAGAAATGCGGACGTAAAAGTAATAAATGTAAAAATTCTAATCATTTCGCTTTAAGTTTTAAATTATTTTTAAATTCGAACTATAATTTAATTACATTTATCGGGTGTAATAAGCTCTCCTTATTGTTTTGACGTTTATACATAATTCACATTTTTACACCTAGAAGATTTTTAATCGTTTCGTCTAAATTCTTCTAAACAATAAAATATCGTCCTCATACCTTATCAGTCTTTCCACTTCGTGATCTCGACCGTTCAGCAATCTTCGTAGGTCGTGTCGGCATAGGACTCTCCGGCGTCCAACAACAGAGCAAGTCAGACCGCGCCGCTGATCTTCGTCGTAGGTCCAGGGATATCATCGCAGGGAACACCAGTAGCATCGATCCCAGGTTAAACAGGAGCAAAATAGCTGCCTAAACAATAAATGATATTGCATTTTTATAATACAGCTTAGTCACTGAAAATTTATACGAAGATTCGAAAAAGCAAGCTATTCTTTTTATCATCATAAGCCTTTAAAAACCTTGCACTATATACTAAACGATCGCACTAGTTACACTAGGGCAGGCATAAAAATGTAATGAAATGGACTCTACACTACAAAATCTATAGTTTACAAATTTACAAACCTGAAGACAAAACACCCGTAATGCTGGTATCGGTAAGAGAGCTGCAGCGAGAAAGGCCATCACATTACATAACGAAGCCAACAGGACGCTGAGCCCGCTCTTTTTTAGTACCAGACCCGTCCGCTCTTCACGTGGTACATCTCCCGCTTGCTCCACGTACGTGTGAGTGAGAAGGAACATATCTTGGACACCTAAGCCCAGTGCGAGGAAAGGCACTATCTGCGTACTTGAAGCGTTGAAAGGTATTCCTGCAAAGTAATTTAAGATTTAATACCAAGAGGTAGAATTTCATACTTTAGGTGTTGAATTTAAAAAAAATGTTTCAAATAAAAAGATAAAAATAATCACCTAACAAAGCACAAAACCCTAGACCCGCTGCGACTGTAATGGAAAGCAAGAGTACCCCTGCTATGCCCACACCGGCTTGAGAACGAACCGGATCACGCCATTGCATAAGGGTCACGGCAACATAAATTAACTGAAATTAAAATCAATAACTTAAAAATAGTGGCACAAAAGAAAAAAAAAATTCACTGCATTTAAATAGACCAAAGACAATAAAATGTGAGATGCTCACCATTAACATATATCCTAGCAAGATATTTTTGAGAGATAGCTCAGAGAATTTGCCGAGTATATCATTTAAGGTTGACGTCGAAAACGGATAGAAGCTGTACGCTGGTGATACTGATTCTCTTGTCGTCATTTTTCGTACCTCCTGAAAACAAATATGCGTCAGTATATTTAAAGAATTCCCTTAAAAAAAAAGGCAAAGTTCAGTTATCAGATCCGAAACAAAATGATCTATAACTTTTACAACTTACAGCAGCAAACTTCCTTTGCCAGGAATCTAAGACTGCGGCAGCTTTCTCTTGCGTCCAGCCAACATGATGCACCCTGTAGTGATCGGCCCAGTACTCGTACATCTCTCGCTCGCCCATCAGTTGCACCACCGTTTGTAACGCCTTGGCACTTCGTAGTGCTGATGTGGAATTCCTCGTTGCACCACCTACTATAAGCTGTTCCGGCCAATGCATATACGCCGCCGCGAAACCGTAGCACCCGTGTGATAGCTCCGCAGCTACATCTGGAATCTGTAATGTATGGACACTGCTTGAATAGAGTTACTAAGAAAACGTATTATGTTTTAAAACAAAAAAACTGAACTTTTAGGGACCCCTAAAGAATATTGGCGGGTCTCTATACAAAAAAATATTTGGAATTAAATTGCATTGTCTTGTAGTGAAAAAAATATTAATAAAGTCGTTTTTTTTAGAATCTATGTGTAAAACAGTTTGGGAAAGGCTAGGAAAAAACATATTAGCATTTGATTTTTTTACTTCGCACTGCATTTTTTTATCCAAGAGTCCACAGATAAAAAAATGCATGCGTGTTTATTTTTCATTATGCAGCTATGTTACAAAAAAGTCTTTTATAACATAGCTACATAATGTTTCCTTTATTTTATCTATGGCTATCGATTTTTCAAATTGGTTTTTATATTGTTTTATATTAGTATTTGATAATTATAACTGTATGTTTGCCATTTAAATAAAATGAAAAAGATAATAAAGAATTATTATAGTATTTTTTTTTGTGACTTGTAATGTGTCTAATGCATGAAATAATCGTCTTATACTTATGTACATATGCATTTATAATATCCAATTATTCCTTTTCCTTAATTTATTACCCATTTCAACATGTAATGAATTGTGAATTCTAAACCGAAAGTAATATAATCGGTGGCGGCTAACCGCCGCCTGTCGCGTCGGACGTGTAGTCTTTATATTTGGAGTAATTTAAACACAGAGCGCGAACGTCAGTCAAGAGTTGCCACTTTTTTTATTTTTTTCTTCCCTACATTCCACTATCAAATACGTAAATGCGTTTAATTATGCATTACAAACTACATTATTTATTGATTCTGTACTTAAAATTATAAAACTAGTATCTGATTACTATACTACTATTAAGTGATTTCCATGTAACGACACTTTATTGGACAGTATTTCCACTACTTGAAAAAAATGGCAGTAACACTAAACTGATGAAAGAAATTAAATAATCAAATAAGCTTATAATATTTTCTGTCTTTTCCTGGGGTTTTACTGACTTAAAAAAAACATAGTTATTTACTAGAATTGATTTTCTATAAATGACATTTTAAGACGCTTAAATTATACTCAACTAGGAATTCGCCATTGTTCTTTGCAATGTCAAAGTAACAAAACAAATTTTCTTGTTTATGAGGTTTCCGTGGAAGTCCTTGCCTTCATCAAATGTTAAGTAAGCATTATTGATATAATAGTGTAATTGTAACGCGCGATAGTTGCAGCAAACGAATCCCATTGAAGCGTGTACAATGCGCCCGTATAATACAGCGGTCCGGCTGCGCGGGCGCGTCGAACAATGCGCGCCCGAACTGCGCCTGGCCCTTTGCCGAACGTGGGTGGCGGCGAGCTCAGCAGACGCGACGCACCGACCCCACAAAAACCCACCCGACGCAATTGAGCGCGCTCCGATCAACTATTTGTTTAAGACAATTTGTACACTTGAAGCGCAGTTGGCGATTGAAACGCTAAGGTTTATTTATGTATTTATTAAAAATCATATAATGTTGTCAAAATATAATTGATGAGAGGCAAGCAAATATACAGTTGCGAAACCCATACTTAGTGATGATATTATCACATAGTTTGTAACATGCATAACTTTCACATAGGGCGAGCATGCCCCCGCGGCAGGTAGTCGCACCATCTGCCCGGCGGCGACCGCTTTCATCCTGCCTTATTACCGTTTCCAAAAATATTTTATTATTATGGAAAGTATTTAAAGTTTATGTGTTTGTCTCGATAAAGATGTTTTATTTGTCATGATCCTACACGCTTTATTTATGTGCCAGTAAAACTGTCGTAAATTGAAGTCTTCATAAAAGGACGGGGAGTTCTCGTAATGATGCCTAATGTCGGACTCTCGGATGCGTGACAAATTATTTATACACCACTTAGGCAACTTCACAAAGGAGACGAGGACTACCTGAATATTTAGCATTTAGCAGTACTTACATTGCGTGTTTTCTTGTTCGGAGCCGTGTCTGGACAATGTATATCGGTGGGGTCGAGACACGGTTTCTTCATGTAGGCGGAGGTTATACCAGCCCTCTTCATATAAGCCTCCATTGTGCTGAATGGGAATTGAAACCTCAACTTCCGCACTTCTTCTAAAACCTCTTGAGGGTGCAAATGTGTCCATTGTAATTTGTGATGAAGACCTCTGTAAACAGCATATTACACGTTGTTACAATATGTACATATATGCGTTGGAATATGTTACTTAGTATTACGACATCGGCAGCATTGTCCGGTAGCGTCTTACAATAAAGACATCTCATTTCGAAACATAGAGGAATTAAGCATACAGTTCCCACAGAACCTACACAATCAATGTAAGTAGGTAGGTGTCACAGTTAGTGACTGTCTCATTGAAAAGGAGTAAACAAAAATTTAACTCTATACAAAATACGTTTCATTTCAGAGTTTATAAGAATGATCATACATACAACCCAATAAATCGCGTTTGAATTATTTAACTCACTTTTATACTTATTGCTAATAATGATATAAGGCTTGTAGTAAGTTCCCTCATCGCTTGGTCGAGTCCAACAGAGTAACGATGGTTTTATGATGTAGCCAAGAGGTGAATAGTGCAACCCTTTGTACTTTTTTATTCAGTTTGCCAATCAAGCGTGTTCTTTTTACTTAACAATATTTTTTATGCAACTAATTGACAAACAAGAAAAATCCCGCCTGGAATAAAACCCCTTTAAGAAAACGTTGAACTGACTTCAAACAAAGAGCACTAATTACTGACTATTAATTTGCTATAATTTTTTGAAGAGTTCCGTTATCTGTCTCCGAAACTCTTCATCAGATCTATATTGAAAACCCATTTTCAAACAAAAAAATTACTTTAAAAATCCGTCTACATATGACGGAGTTATGCCCGAGCATACATTAAAAAAATTCATCTGAATTGACCACTTCCTCCTTTTTGAATTCGGTTAAAAATGAGACTTACACGTTGAAATATTATTTAATGACTTTGGCAACATCATTTCAGATCAGATTATTTACTACTAAAATCTGCTCTACCTTATCCGAAATTTCTTCATAGTTTTGGCAGAACCCATAGCATGTATCAGAAAAACTTATGGAACTTGATACTTACGGAACAAATATCGGGTAATCTGGTCCAAGCAACTTGGACCCTTCCCAGAAACAATCAAGTGGTGTAATGATAGCGCATGGAATGATATTATCGATGATTTTCTCTATGTGATACGCTTCGAAATCAGGGATGCTGGGGCTGTAGCACAAGTCTTTTAGCCGCCACTCTATATCATACATATGGACGGTTACACGAGTTGCCGCGTGAACCACCTGTTGAAAGAAACAAAATGTCGTAAATAAACACCTCATGACCAAGTAGTGCTATTATAATTATGTTCCGTATTATCAGCCGTATCATATTCCTGTTTTTTGACGATCAGTCGCAAGGTACTTTACTATATATATTTTCGATTAATAAAGCCGCAATTATGGGTATTTCTGTTTTGACAAGAGCACTCCATTGTTTAAAGTTAAACTGATATAATAAACATATATACGTTAAATTCACGAATATTCATAGACAATAGAAATATAATCGACTGCGCGGATGGCGTAGTGGTTTACGGGTCACCCTGCCGCTTCCTACTGCGCTGAGTGTTGTGGGTTCGATCCCATCAAGGGACAACAGTTTGTGTGATTCACAAATTGTTGTTCTGAGTCTGCGCGTTCTTTGTGTTCGTTTCATGTATGTTTGTAAAGTCCCCCGCCACACAGGATTCATTCCTAGTGCGGAGGACTTTAATTTTTTTTTTAAATCAAACGACTTGAATGAGATTATTCTGAATCGTAACGGTTCTTTTTACTCCATAAGCTCTGTAGCCAAGATTACAACGGACTTTATGTCTCACCTTTAGGTGCTCGAGCAGCGCGCCTGCGTGTAATAGAGATACGTCAGGATCCTTAGCAGTCTGTATGATAAGCTGGTGTGTCGAAGAGTCAGCTTCACCCAGCGCTTTCGCAGTATACTTTAGTTCAGCTTCGAGACGACCACCCTCTACGGACAAAGAAAACATCATTAGAAAAATATTTACCATTTGCCACAATATATTTTTCTGGTACTTATAAGGATTTACAATTCGCTCTTAACTAAAAACATATAATATTACATATTTGTCAAAAAAAAAAAACTGTGAACTTGATCCGGGGTCAAGTCGTTACACACGGTGACGATTAGATATTGTAAATTGTACATTAGCTCAATAACAATATCTTGAGAGTTACCATTTCCCCCCCAAAAAGCAGTTAATTTTCAATTTCGAAATAAAAATTTCAAAAACAATTCTTCAGAGGTGTAACAACATTAATAATTTAGTGCAAAGTAACGACAGATAATGTTCTGGCAGATTTATAATTAAATTTGTAAATATGTAACATGTACGTATCTAATAAGATACACACCATCTTCATACATATTATTATTATATAGTTCATACTTTTCAGTATTTGGAGTCAACAACATAATTATATTCTTTTGTTTAGTTTTATATTTATAGTGTCTTAAGATATAATTGTTTTTATGTTTCTTTTGTATCAGACTGTTTTTTTACAAGCCAAAGATAAAGGTCGCCTTATCTTAGTCTTGAACACTTCATGGTTCAATTGAACATACAAATAATTTCAATGTCATTTTTTTATCTAGAAATAAAAATTACATTTAACCGCTTTAATCATTCATGTTTCTAAGATTTAAAAAGACGTCTCGAGTATCTGATTGCCTGAAACTAGTTTTAACTGCAGATCAAAACTTAAGTATCAAAACTTAAGTCTAATAATAGAACGCGTTTTTAGTTTTACTCAGTTAAAACTACTTTCAAGTATTGATTTAAACTTACAGTCTGTCCTCAATTACGTTTCCGCATGATCGATATTATTATTTGATATTACGCTGCTAATTATTAAAAAAAACATCTATTACTAACATAATTTCTGTGAGTTTTTACATAGTGTACTATGTGCTAGTGTACCACTATAAACATATTAATAAGCTTATTCGTCCAAAATTAAATATAATAAATAATAAAATAAAAATGACCAATAATCAGATATAACGGAACGTTCAAGTTATTTATCAACACTTGTCATGTTGAATTGTCAAACAATGTTTTTATTCTTACATTTCTAAAATTTTTGTTACTAGAATAATATTATACTTTTAACATAAACCAAAAGGTTGTGGTGATTTTAATTTCAACAAGTATTGTGTGCGTAAATGTGAATTTGAGTGAATTTAATATCAATTAAGGTAAATTAAAGTGCATTAATTGTGTATGACAAGTAATTCTTTCGGAATTATTCAGAAACAAATCATAGTAGAGCACATTCTTTTCCCCTAAAATGTAATAGAAATCACCGTTTGAGACTAGTTTCAGTTTATCTCACGTAAACAAAGATCACATCTGTCAAAATCTGTACCTCAGTAGAGATTACGACATAAACATCTTTCTAAAATAAGTTATCACTCACTTGGGTATGGATCGGTGAATATAGTTTTAAGTGACGTTCAATAATAAAATCGCTACTTAAAGTATTAAGACTAGATTCACAACTGAGACACCTTTAAAATACGGGCCTTAAACTTCTTAGACCTCGATTTTTGGTTGGTAAACTACTGTTTTGTAAGTTATTCTTTTGTCATAAGTTCGAATTTCGAATATGTGTTCATATTCCATAGTTCTATCATCATTTTTAGTAATCACACAATTGTATATATGCTTTGATGTCTATACTCGTATGATCATCCGGCCAAGGCACTTTTAACACCTTTAAACACCAGAACTTAAATTTACAAGACCAAAATATTTGAATACAAAATGTAGAAATAAATGCTTTTTTGGAATAGATAAGAATGTACGATCTATCAGGTGCGTTTACAATAACAATGTTATTTTTGACTAAAAAACGACTTCGATAGGGAGACCGTCTTACAGATCCAAAAATAGTTAGCGCGCCCCATTCTGAACTGTTTATTACGTACCATCGTCGACACATTTATTAGGAACTCCACACTCGTGTTCTTCGTATTCTTAGGGCGGTTTAGCTCATATATCATAGCCACGTCAATTTCTACTACAATCGAGGAAATGTATATTTAAGATGCAGAGACACAATATACAACCCGCTTCAAAGATTGTTTTTATCTATTTTTTGCGTCAGTTTTATTCCTCATTTCTCATTTGAATCTCACTGAAGCACAACTTTATAAGCTTGAGCGACTTCAAAATCTGTATACGATTTGAATTTGGACTAAGAAAATATGATCACATTTCCAAATTCCGTCAATAGCTCTAGTGGCTTTCAATTCGCTCTCGTCGGAATACTCATATACTCATTTTTCTCTATAAAATCTTGTTCAACCCCAGAGCCCCCTTTTACCTTAAAGAACGGTTCAAGTTCCTTCAAGACACACATGAAAAACGTCTGAGGTCTTCCGAAGATTTGAGGCTTGAGATGCCTCTGCATTCTACAAAATTTTATGACCAGTCTTTTACTATTGAAGCTGTACGATTGTGGAATGCATTGCCGATAAACATCAGGCGAGCGCAAACAATAAACAGTTTTAAGAAAATGCTTCAAGAATTTTTTGTATCGTAATTAAGACAGCTACATACTCGTGTTAGGGTATGATGTAAATGTTTTCTTTTTTTATATGTTATGTATGTATGTATATTTGCTGGTATGTAAAAGTATTTGTTTATTTGTATATAAATTTGTAAGTGTGTATATATATATGTATATTTATTATATTATATATATCTAGTTATTATCTCTTTTATATTAGTTAGCAATTAACCTCAAAAACTCATTTCACCGTCAACTACTACTCTCTCCGGAACATTTTGATCCATCCTAAGGTTGCCCGGAAGAGATTGCTCTTAGCAATAAAGCCGCCGTTTGTGTGTGTGTCTGACACTTTTATGCACCATACTTTTTGTAAAACGGTGTACAAATAAAGAGTTCTATCTTTCTATTTATCTCATCAATGCAAGCACAATGTGCCACAGTAAAGCGTGGCAGGGTAAATTAAATACCGTTGACAGTATTAAAATAACATGGAGGAATATGGCTTTTCGGCATTAGCTACGCCGACGCTGGCCATGATAATGTTCTGACAAGCAGGTTCGTTTGACGTTCCAATCAGTTTCGACAATTAAATGACACCTGACAATTTAAATTAGAATGACAAAAAACGTTTATTTTAATGACACAAACGAAGCCTTTCAACGTTCGTTAAAGCTTTAATGACGACTTCAGATAACATCAATTTCATATTTATGCCCCATTAAATGTTTTTACTAGTATGTTACTTGGATATTTTAACGTACATTTAAATAACATTAATACCTTTTGCGAAAGATTTAAGGACACATTTACTTGCAAATGCAATTATTGTACCATAAATAAACATAGTTTCTAACGTAGTTCTAAAACGTTTGTTCTTCTAAAAATATTAATTGAATCTACTACCTGAATTGTTTTGCTACTTTGATTAATTGAATTGGGCGCCTGGAGTAAAGTCAAAATATATAAATTTTACCGATTACTACAAAACATTGGCCTAAAAACCAAAGTATCCATTAAAGAAAAAGATAATTCGGTCGATAAGGAATAATATTGAAAATGTAACACCTTATCTTCCCGACATCCTGCTTGGGGAGAACCATAGTAATTTTGGAGATTCGCAGCGAATGCGCGAGAGAATTCGTGCCAATTAACACCCGTCCTGCTGATTTATAAGACGGTTTGTAACTTTTTGTGCCGAATTTGGTCCGACGTGTCAGAAAAAAAAGGTTTGACAGCTTCGCTTAATCTTAAATTATGTTGTAAGATCTTGCTCTCTACGTATACATTTTTATACTTATTTGTATCAGAGAGTTTGCATTAAAACCAAACAAAATACCTAACCTTTATGAGCATTTTGAAGCGGTATCTCAAATCAATCGATTTAATAAAAAATATATGGGTACTTTTTGTTGATTCAACTTGAAGGGCGAAGACAGGTGACTCCTTATAAAGTTAGATACTCAGTCGATAAATCGTATCTAACGACTTTAATGTGTTTTTTCTTAACCTATTTTTATATAATTTCGTAAAATCTGGCACTTTGACATTTATAAATAATTGAAATTTCTTGATCAGATCTTTGGACTCAAATCATAAAATTGCTCTAAGGAACATCCCCCTTTTAAATTTCGACACTTGAAATACTTGACAGACCTCATTTAAAACTATTTCTCACATGTGTGAGTCTTTGAATCAGTGGCTCGGCAGTTAACGCCCTCGGTCTACGCCCGGAATGCTATTTTATTTTGGTCGCTAATTTATAGTGTGACGGTTCAATGTGTTTGTGCATAGAACAAGGTGGTGTAACTAAGTTAACAAAATAGAAACATTTTATTTATTATCTCATGATTTCCATTTAAACTTATTGCTTGCTTTGACAAAATGTTTTTATGAATTTGCGCCAGTGCCAGCCATTTAACTACCTGCATAAGCTGTTAATCTCAGTTTATAATTACAGATTGAAATCAGCTATATGGACTTAATACATAACCTCAGATCAATTTCCAATCGTGATTTAAAGCAGTGTAAGAAAAAGAAGGCGAGAGATTAGATTTCTGGAAAAACTAAAAGCGTCATCAATGTAATCAAACTTACATAAGTACCGAGTATATGACAGAAACATTAAATTGGAAAGTAGTTACTGGAAATATCAGACATTGTAGTTTACTGACAGGTCAGGACAAGAACACAAAAAGAAACCAACTAAGATTGACATAAGTCATCATTTGTACAAAAGACTGCTAAATGCAACAAACATTATATGATAAGCAAGTAGAGTAGACTTTATTAACAAATTTCTCATTATGGTTCCATTGATATACACGAGGGTTACTCCATGGTCATTTAGCTCCATCCAAATGTATAAAAGACGTAGGGAAAATTACAAAAGTATTAGTTTATATACACACACTTTTGAATTATCAGTCAAAATTC